TATCATCTTCTTCCTTAGCGACCTCGTCTGTCTCTCCCAACTGTAATCTCAGGAACTCACGTGCTTTAAGGACAGAGTCAATCTTTTCTTTTTTATTGTATAGTTTTGGAATTAACCATCTGTAGGCAATGCTGTTTGTTTGTAGAAAAAGGATTAAGTCTTTATATTTCTTTCTCTTTTGCCTTATTTCAAATGGGATGTCTTTTAGAATCCTGATGATGTTGTCCCCGATTTTCAAGAGTGTTCTGTAGTTGCTTTCAGGATTGAATCCCTCACATGCCTCTTCGAGAATCTGACCACTATCTCCCTAGGCAGATTATTCTTCCTGATATACATGGAATAGGACCTGTAGACCACATCCATTTCGTTTGCAAGATATTCCGCTTTCAAATCTATAACTGGGGCTAATGCTTCACTCAAGAGTTGCTTTAGATTCTCGTCTTTTAATTCTGGGACCCCTTGAAACCGGAGGACCAAATTTGCTTTCTCCATTTGCAGCTGTAAAAGTTAAGATTCTTCCAAAGCTTGCTTCTTTTCCAGCTTTTGCACCTTTTTCTTAACGTTTTTAGTGTTGGCGTCTATTTCCTTCACCTTCTCAGCTGTTTGCTCCATCATTTTTAAAGTTTCAGTCAGTTGGAGCTGCTGAGTTGCAAGGTTCTGATTTAAAGTTGTCAGCTGTTGTTTGATGTTGGTCATCTGGTCCAGCAGAGGGCGCAAGGAATCTGCCAACATTTTAGAGAACTCAGTGACCTCTTCCGGTCGAGGGCTCATGCTCCCACTGGTTTCACTTTTGCTAGTTTGTCTTTCTCTGCCTTCTTCCCCACCATCTTTATGGATTGTTTACTTTTGTAAAAACTTTGCTAAAGTCTCTGAAAATTGCCCATACACCTATCTGTGCTCTGGTAAGTCTCTCAAAACAGATTTCAACGCTTCCGCTCCCCCCTTGGTATATCGTTTTTTAGTTCATGCGTATGGGAGGGGCCCCTCCCCCACTTGCTTTTCTCGCTGTTCCTGGGGGTGGGCTTTCTTTTTATATTCCCGTATTTGCTTTAACCCGACTCACTGTTCATTGTTGGTGATACGACCTTGCTCGGAACACGTTTAAAACGCTTGATCTCCGACACTTGTCCCGGTCAGCAGCTCTAGATCCATGCGGACACTCAGCGGCAGGACCGTCAGGGCGGAGGAACGCCTCAATTCCCCAGCATCACGCTGGTGAAGAGGTCGCCCCTCAAAAGCTCCATAGCTAGGAGCCTTTTGCCAAGGCTCCGGGGGGGTGGCGACCAATGTTCCCTCTAAGCCGTGGAGTCTCGTGAGCAAAAATTCTGCTTTGTGAGCTCCTGCCATTAAAGTTGTGAGCGAGCAGTTTGGCTTCTGCATAAATCAGTTTGCTCTGGAACCCTCCTTCCTGAGCTAAGACAAAAATGCGTGAGCCGGAGGCTAAAAAACTGTGAGCTAGCTCACACCAACTCAGCTTAGAGGGAACACTGGTGGCGACCCGTCGCCCCCCCCTCCTATCCACTGGTGCACAGATCACATCCCCGGGTGGTCCAGTGTGTTGCCATAAACCGGAAGTTCCACCAGTGAGCAGTTCTTCAGCACATTTGACAATTCTTTTCTCGTCCGCTAAAAGAGCTTACAATTCTTATTTGAGGCCTAGCATCCATCTGTTACTCCCATTGCTTCTTTCGGATCATGAGGATTGATCTAGGTCCTCAGGAACTCATCTTCATCACATAGACTTGCTCTGCATTTTCTCTTTCTTCATGCCCTGCGTCTCTGTGTGTTCATATCTATGTTTTGCAGTCTCCTTTTATATATATATATATTCCAAGGGTTTTTATGTAGTCTAGACCACAGTTAAAGCAGGGATTAATCTGGTCTGCTGAGTTTTATAATCCTTCTAGGGATCAGTCCTGTCAGATAGTGAATGGCAAAGGAACACTGCAGCCTTCTCTATTTACTGCCATGGAGAGAAGCCTATAAAGGCGCCATCTGCCTAGGAGGCTTTGACTGCAGCATTTTCAGGCCTAAATTGTCTCTGAACTAATGCAGTTTCCAGCAGACTGCCAGGTGTGGATTCCAGTATAAAGTCGGTTTCACCTGGTGCTTCGAAAAAGAAGGTACATTGCTTTTATCTCATTAGAAGAGCAGTAATTACAGTCCTGTACATGGCTTGGCATAAAAAGGGAGCAAAGAGGCTGTAAAGAAACCTTAATTTCTGTCTGATTTCTGAAGTTACTTAATAAAAATTAAATAAAGCAAGAAGGGCAGGAGCTCAGATCTAGCTGCAAGTCACAGTCCCACCCGTGGATCTTAAGGTATTCTAATAAGCTTACAGGAGTGCTTTTGGGGTCTTTTTCTGTTTTGTGTGTGTGTGGAGAGGGGTGGGAAGAGGCTTAATTTTCCTCTCCGAGCTCTGTTGGAAGTCCGCCTTGCCAAATAAAAACCAAGGTTCTTGGATTCAAATACGGCATTGTAATATTCAACCATTACCAGAGATTTTTAGAAGCACTTGACATCCATGTACCATCCTCTTAAATTCTGTGTTTCTGTGTTGTCTGTAATCAAAGTACTTTGCATTGCTGGTCAGATCAGTTTGCGAACCTGATACTTTTCCAAGCCAAGTCTTTGAGAGCTGCAGAATGTTGGCAGCTTACATCCTCCTTCCTTCAAATCCGTGCAGGTGTTTTTCCAGCAGAGGAACTATCTCCTGAAGTGCAAATCCAGCAGTTGGCTCTGAATTTAAAAAATGAATAGGGTTAATCCCTCCCCCTTCATTGTCACCACAAACCTTGAAGAGTTCTTACCTTTCTGGTACTATTGCCATGCATTGTTTCGCTTCTAGGATTGAATTCAGGAAGGTTTCCTGGGTGACTACTTGCAGACAATGAGGTGTGGGTTTCTGATTCAGGGACTACACAAAACCTGACCAGCAGGTGGCAACCTGGAGCAACACTTGGTCGCTTTTCCATCTGTGGTCTTTTGTGATTGTTCTGCTGTTTAAGAATACCTGGATGGGGCAATGGAGGATTCCATTAGAACATCATAAAAGACCTCTTGGCCATCCCCTTATGTTGCCTCTTAGCACTGGTACTCAAAGATATACTGCCCTCGAACACAGAGGCTCCTTTTAGTCACCGTAGTTAGCAGCTCTTGATGAACCTGCTCTTGAATCTGTCTAATCCCCTTGAAGTCCCACCTGATGTAGTTTTGGCTGTTTAATGTCAAAAGATTGCCCACCCTTGTGCTAGGTGGCCTTAGGCAAACCACTGTTATCTGAGCCTGAGGCCCCCGACCCCCAGCTACTGTCTGGGGACAATAATGACCTACCTTACAAGGTGGTTTTTAAAGGTTGCAAGGTTATTTTTTTAAGGATTACAAGAAGATAATGCATATGGATTGTGTTGAATGCCCAAATGATATTATAAGTCCTTTTAACATTTATTATTATTGAAGTATTTCTTAATCATTCTAAAATGCCTGAGGAGCTCTGCCCTGTCTGTAATGCCTGTCCGTAAAACCTCCCCTTTTGACATTTAGCGACTGTCCCTTCGAAAAGCCGACGATTCCCAAAGCAAGCAAAAGAAAGCCGGAGACAACGTCAGAGAGCGGATCATCAGGCGAGCAGCTCTGGAATTTGAGGATGGCATGTACGGTATCCTTTCTCCGTGGCTGAATTGTTTGAGCGGTTGGGGGTTTTTTTGGGGGGAAGGCGTTAACGAGAAGAGTTGTTGAGGCCCTTTGATCGGGTTGCCCCTTGACTAATTCGTCTCCAGCGAACCTGGGCATTGGAATCCCACTGCTTGCCAGCAACTTCATCAGTCCTGACATAACGGTCCACCTGCAGAGTGAAAATGGAGTACTTGGTTTGGTAAGAATGGACATGGGAGCTGTGACTGATCCCCGTGGGGGGGAAAAGGGCGGGGAAGAAGAAGGCGTTTATGAGAGCTGCTGTCAAAATATTTGATGGGAAAGTTGCTATAAGACTGTGCATCTTGTTTGTTTTGAACCTAGGGGCCTTATCCGCTACAAAATGAAGTCGATCCTGATCTTATCAATGCAGGTACACCTCTCTGTCTATCAGTACCGTTTATAGCCTATCCTATCTCTCAAAAAACTTATATACGTATTTTCCCATTGTTTCCTCCTAATAACCAGAGGTGGGTTAGATTGAGGGAAGATCGGTGTCCAAGGACTCCCAGTTAACTTTATTTACTTCAAAATTTGAGCCCAGTGGCACCTTTAAGACTAACAAAGTTTTATTCAAGCTTTTGTGTGCATGCACACTTCCTCAGACACATTGAAGTAGATCCCATTCAGGGCTCTTTTTGTAGCAGGAACTCCTTTGCATATTAGGCCACACCCCCTAATGTAGTCAATCCCCCAAGAGCCAATCCTCCTCTTCTTACAGGAGCTACTGTAAGCTCTTGGAGGATTGGCTACATTAGGGTGTGTGTCGCTTAATATGCAAATGAGTAACTGCTACAAAAAGAGCCCTGATTCCATTTCGATGCGTCTGAGGAAGTGAGCATGCACAGGAAAGCTCACACCTTGGATAAAACTTTTGTTAGTCTTAAAGGTGCCACTGGGCTCACACTTGGTTCTTCTGTGTCAGACCAACATGGCTACCCAGCTGAGTTTATTTACTTCACTTATGGCCTCCCTTTCTGTCCAGCGGGGACCCACAGTGGTTTACGTACTTGTCCTCTCCTCCATTTTATCCTTGTCACAGTCATGTGAGGTAGGCTAGGCTGAGAGAGAGAGAGAGGGAGGGATGGGCCCAAAGTCACCCACAGCACGTTTCTGTGGCAGAGGGGTGATTCAAACCTGGGCCTCCCAGAACCCTAGTCCAAAGCTGCACCACACTGGCTCTCGTGCCTAAGTATGAATTTGTATCCAGACCTCCCTTGCTGATGGTCAGTGTGAGAGCCAGTGTGATGTAGCAGTTAAGAATGTCGGCCTAGAATCTGGGAGAACTGGGTTCAAATCCTCACTTGGAACGTGGGAGCTCCCTGGTTGACCTTGGGCCATCCACACTTTCTCAGCCTCACCTACCTCGTAGGGTTGTGAGGATAAAATGGAGGAGAAGAGGATGATGAAAGCCGCCATGGGTCCCAGTTTGGTGTAGTTTGGTTAAGAGCAGTGGACTCTAATCTGGGAGAACTGGGTTTGATTCCCCACTCCTCCACATGAAGCCTACTGGTGTGACCTTGGGTCAGTCACGGTTCTCTCAGAGCTGTTCTATAAAGAGCAGTCCTTGAAAGAGCTCTCTCAGCCCCACCTACCTCACAGGCAATGTTCCCTCTAAGCTGTGGAGTCTTGGGAGCAAAAAATTCTACTTTGTGAGCTACTGACATTAAAGTTGTGAGCGAGAGATTTGGCTACTGCACAAATTAGTTTGCTCTAGAGCCATCCTTCCTGAGCTGAGACAAAAATGTGTGAGCCGGAGGCTAACAACCTGTGAGCTAGCTCACACTAACTCAGCTTAGAGGGAACACTGCTCACAGGGTGTCTGTTGTGGGGAGGGGAAGGGAAAGGAGATTGTCAGCCATTCTGAGACTCCTTCGGGTAGTGAAGGGTGGAGTACAAGTCCCAATCTCCTCCTCCTCCTCTCCCCCCCCAATGGATTGGGAAGAAAGGCAGGGGTACAAATGAAATAAATAAAATGAAGTTCAAGATGCCATCCAAACTGAGTCACTGTCAAGAGGGTCTGTTGTCTCAAAGTTTTGCTCTTGTATAGTTGGCTTAAGGTTGGCAGGACTGTATTTGCAAGGCAAACATTGGTCTATTGGTATTGTCTCTTCTGCAAGGAGTTGTACCAAGGGCTTCTATGAATCTTTTAAGTAGGCTGGAAGAATAAATGAAAGGGGGGGTTTCCTTACGTGGCCATCGCAAACGTAGCATCCTGTTTCTTCTACAGGAAAGGAGACAGTCACCGTGCTCCCTGGGGCTTCCTACTTTTCCAGCGATGAATCTTTTGCCATGATTAGAGGGTACGTAACAAGTGACTTACTTTTGCTCAGTGTTAAGACTACAGGCCCGCTGTCAAATGTCAGCTCATTGGCTCTGCGGAAATTGAAGAAACTGTGACAAAGTAACGCTAATAATATATTAAAGAGTCAAAATTATACAGTGATGAAAAGGTGAACAATATATTGGTGAGTGTAGATCATTGGATCGAACAGTTGTCACTGTTTTCTGCAGCCCTTGCCTTTACATGAACGGGGTAGATGACCAAAGGTCAGACTTTGTTACGTGGAACACCTCCCTGCCATTTTGTACTAAATTGCTTTGTTTGATGCAACTATGGGAGGAGGAGGAGGAGGAGGAGGAGGAGCTGAATTAGATTCCTTCCATTGGACTCCTCTCCCCCTGATACTAGCTGATCCAAGCTGATAATTCCTTTGGCAAGGGGGGGGGGACATGTGGCCCCTGCCCCCTGCAGCTTGGGGCTGGGAATGCCTGACGGAAAAGGGTTAACAGGAACCCCCTCCTCTAACAGCAGGGCCCTCCCATTGGACAGGGAGTTACCCATTGCAAGGAATACTCTTTTTTTTGCCATCAGGTCACAGCTGACTTATGGCAACTCCGTAGGGTTTCCAAGGCAAGAGACGTTCAGAGGTGGTTGGTTTGCCCTTGCCTGCCTCTGCATAGTGACCCCGGACTTCCTTGGTGGTCTCCCATCCTAATCCTAACCAGAGCTGTGACCCTGCTTAGCTTCTGAGATCTGACAAGACCGGGCTCGCCTGAGCTATCCAAGTCAAGGCAAGAAGGATGTTACTCATATGAACTGCCTGTCAATATTACGCGGTGTTAGCCCACAGCAGACCAAACATGGGTGCAATGGTATCCAATAAAGACTGGAGTCTCTCAGGCTTATGTACAAATAATATACAGTTTATTATACAAGCCTCTCACCAAATCTTTACACTGAGTGACGTAATGCTCCGCTGCGCTCGCATTCCAAGAAGGAATGAACTATTCTGTACATCACTGAATATATACAACCACTGGCCAATCACAGCCAATGCTGAGTCACTGTGACTCAATGCTAATTAGCTCTAGCAGTAACCAGCTAGAACCGGTCAGAGCCAGCTCTCATGACACTTAGAGCTGTCAGCTCCTGTCAGTTAGATGCCGATGATCTACAGCATGACTTAACCATACATAGAATACTGACACTCCCCCTTTAAGTCATAGCTGCCATACCAAGTTTGTGCTTCAGCACTTCAAACTTTCTCACATACAGGCATCAAGTTAATAAGTCAGCCACATGTTGTCATGTACAATGGTTAGCTATATCAAGCCTCACACCATTACATATTTACACACTTACATTTACATCACATTTTGTATTTACAAGCATACAATCACTTTGTTATTTTGTTTTGTTGGTCACAGTAAACATCCCTGTTGCGATCAACCTTTATTTACTGCACCATTTGTTAGCGTTCTTCTTTGCTTTCATACTTCATGCTTTATTTATTTGACACAGAGAGTCATCACAGCATTTATTTAGCCCTTGTATTCACAATACTTCCAGGCAACCTTGTTAATGCAAACCTTCATTGTTTGCCATCAGGAACCAAACCTTAAACATGAGTTGGTTATTTGCTCACAAAGAGCTTAGTTTTTAACACCTTTGTTATATTGCTAGCTTTGCAAGCCTCAGCAATGCACCTGTTATTTATTTACACTTTGTTACTGCCCATAGGCACGTGTTACAATAAACACTCTCTTTACATCTCTGTTATTTGTGCTCTAGTACACAGAAGCACCCTCTTCCACAGGGAAACCAGTGATCATATCACAACCATACCTAGTTGTAAAATCTGTTACTGTGTCACACCCAGACACACCCAGTCTACTCCAAAGAGACATCTTTTGTGGCACACGTTCAATAATAACAGGTTTCTTATCCCCTTGAACTGCTTTCACAGAAACAGGTAAAGTTACATTTTTTACAGTGCTAATTTCAGACACCTCTGGTTCAAATCCAAACCTTATTGGAGGAACACCTTTTGTAATTCTTTCTGACACTCTGGGTAAAACCCTTTCATTTTGCATATTGTTTGAGGATTGCTCCTCCTTTGGCACAACCTCCTGTTTAGTTACACCCTCACCAACACTTTCAGTGCTCTCAGTGCTAGGCAGCACAACCATTTGGGGTAACTGGAGGCGCCGCTAGTTTGTCCTGTCTTTGTCTCTCATTTGTACTATGTGGTCTTATTGTCATGATTTGCATTCTGCTGCCTCGGGTTAGTGGCAGACGGGGCAGATGCGCATCAGATGTTGGCATGCACTGGGCATTTCGAGGAAGAGTGAAATGATAACCGAGGAGCCAGAGCTCTGTGTGCCTCTTAGAATGTCTGATTTGGCCCTTAGATAACCAAACAAGGGGGACCTGTCGCCCAGCAAGTGCCCAGTGGGATTGCAGACCTCTCAGTACAAACAGAAGCACATGTATTTAGACATTAGCCCTACTTTTGCCAGTAGGTCTTACTTCTTAATAAATGCTGTTAGGAACATAAGAACATAAGAGACGCCAATGTTGGATCAGGCCAAAGGCCCATCCAGTCCAACACTCTGTGTCACACAGTGGCCAAAAATACCAGGTGCCATCAGGAGGTCCACTAGTGGGGCCAGGACACTAGAAGTCCTCCCATGCGGCTCCGTAGTGCCATCCTAAGCACAGTTGCCCCCTTCTAAGCCTGTTGACTTCGTTGGGACTTTGAAGGGTGGAACTCTGTTTAGGATGGCTCTGCAAGTCACCCATGTGTCCAGTTGTATTTGACAACAGTGTTCTTCACCGCTTAGAGAGCTTGTAGTAGAGATAAATAATTAAAAGTGTGCCAGAACTCCTGGTGCTGATCGCAAATATATGCTAATTTCATTGTTTTTTTAATTAACAGAGGACATGTCAATCTGACTATGCTCGGAGCGATGCAGGTGTCCAAATATGGCGATCTGGCCAACTGGATGATTCCTGTAAGTGGACGGAAAACATTTTCTCTATCATCTCTGTGTTTAATCTAAGGAAGTATAAATATACTTGCAAAATGCACTTTACTGAAATCTTTGCCCTCCACCAATACCTTTGAGAAAGGAGGCTTGAACGGAAAAGGCAGGAAAGGCCGGTAACGAGGAAGTATCCAGATTACCTTCTAAAAGCTGTTTGGGGCAGTGTTGGGCTGTTGATCCTGTTAGGTCTGCACGAGTAGCTAGTTGGAGGAAGAAACAGTGTTCTTTCAGGGGAAGTGACCCACTTAGATTTGTGTGGTTGCTGGAAACCTTTCCAATTAATAAATTCAGATAGGGAATAGTGCCCAGGAATCTGGGTTATAAGAAACTTGACAAGAGCTGGTTTTAGGGAGAAGACAAGAAATGACATTGTTAGAGCAGTCTGTGCTGCCCTGAGAGTATCTTCGAGGCATTACATGTGAGGCTTTCCTTTCCAGGCTGATTTCGGCGGGGAGGGGGGACAACAACAGATTGCACAGGTTTAAAGGAAGTGCCAGTAAAACATGCTGTTGATTGGCTGACCAACCTATGATGTTATCCACATAGCATTTCTAATACTTCTCAAAACCCCCTCCTTTTTCAAAGATACAACCCCTACTTGCATCTGATGAAGGGAGCTTTGACACTCAGAAAGTTCATGCCCCCCAAAATCTTGTTGGTCTCTAAGGTGCTGCCGAACTCGAATCAAGCTGTGTGTTTGTATTGTAATTCGTCTTTTAAAAAATTAAAATTAAAAAAAAATCCAGCTTCAGTCTATGCATCTTATCTGAGCAAAGTGCGTACTTGGTGGCCCGCATCTACAAATAAGCTCTCTAAGTCATCAGAGCTGCTGTTCTAAAAGCCATGCCACAGATACACAATGCAAAACAGAGTTGAGGGCACTGTTCTGTCTGTTCTCAGGTTGGAATAAACATTATTAGTGCTAGCTGCTGAACGTCTGCTCTTTACTTTGTAGCTGGTGCCTTGTCAGTGTGCTTGAAGATTTCTCCCCTTCCTCTCTCCCAGATTTCGGAGAATTCTCTGTAGTACAGAGTTTCTAGCCACTTTCTCATTTGGGGTCCAGAAATCTTTTGCTAGAAGTCAGGGCTTTCTTCCCTCCGTATTCAAGTTATTTCCAGGCATTGTAGTTTTCAGTAAGGAATCCTGCTGTCCGTAGCCAAATTGCTGAAACTCTAAAAAAAAATACAAGTGACAGAAGAAATTTAATAAACTTCCTAAGGCAACCTCATTTATAATAACAAGGATTTCAAAGCCCACCTGACAGTTTTCCTTTTGTAAAAATTCCCTTTTTATTGTCGTGTGCCTCTGGAGCTCAGAGCTGATTCGTGTCCTGCTGTGAGCCTGCGACTTGTGATATTTCGATGCCAGCGGTTCACACATCTTTGCACCTGACACCAATTTAGGGTTCCTGGAAAACAGCCTGTCTCATTCTCAAGGCTTCATCAAAGGGAAGTTGAAGATACACAGCAGTTACAGGGCCTTTTGTTGCTTGCCTTGTGAGATTTGATGCTTTGAGCAAGCCTGAATGCGATCAATGGAGCATGTGGTTCTTTCTGCTTAAAGACCAAAAAAAAAAAAATCTGCTGTGAAATGAAGAGAGGGGAAATTATGAATTTAGGGGAGTGTGTGGATTTAGGGAAATATATAATTTTTATTAGCTGGATTAATTTTTCATCCTTCAGGGATCCAACCCGTTTCCCCCTTGGTATGCACAGTTTAAAACCTGAAATCTCACCTCTCTGTGTTTAACATAGTTACCTTCAGGGCTATTTTTGGGCAGGAACGCACAGGAACGGAGTTCCGGATGGCTCCCAAGTTGGCCACGCCCAGCAAGAACTCATTAGCATAACAGGCCACACCCAACAGCAGAAACTCATTAGGATTGGCTACATTAGGGATGTGTAGCCTAACATGCAAAGGAGTTCCTGCTACAAAAAAGGCCCTGGGTTTTGACAACAAACAAGGTAAACAGAATAACAAGCAAAAGGTGGGTGTGACTGGATAACCACACTTCTGGTAACATGGGGGTGCGGCCTAATGTGCTAATGAGCTGTGCTGTCGGGGGTGTGGCCTAATATGCTAATGAGTTTCTGCGGTTGGGTGTGGCCTATTATGCTAATGAGTTCCTGCTGGGCTTCTCTACAAAAAGAGCCCTGGTATTTTGGTGTGTGTGTGTGTTGTAAATAAACTTTGTTCTTGTTCATTTAACTGAGTCTCTACTAGGGAAAAGAACAGGATATAAATATTTAAATAAATAAAAAGCATATCTTCCTGTCAGTTTACCTCAATTCATAGCAGCCACAAAATTCTGAGAGCCAGGGTGGTACTTTTGCACTAGTTTTGCACTAGAATCTGGGAGAACTAGGTCTGGATTTCCACTCTGTCATACAAGCTTGCTGGGTGACCTGGACCACTGATACACTCTCAGGATAAAATGCAGAAGGTGGATGTTGTAAGCGACTTTGGGTTCCCATTGAAGAGAAAAGTAGGGTGTAAAGAAGTAAAATGAATAAGTTGCTGTTTCTTCAAACATTTTTTCCTACTGGACTTCCCCAGCAGAATGTGACAGGTGGGGAAAAAATGGCAGAAAATCCTATGGGGTAATGTCTGACACCAGGAAACCATCACAGGTGTCTTGTGTCAAGTCAGTTGTGAGAGCCATTTTGTGTAACGGTTAGGAGCGCTGACTCTAATCGGGGAGAATCGGGTTTGATTCCCCACTCCTCCACATGCAGCTGCTGGTGTGACCTTGGGTCAGTCACAAGCTATTTCAGAGCTATTCTCTCAAGAGCTGTTCTCTCTCAGCCCCACCTGCCTCATAGGGTGTCTTTTGTGGGGAGGGGAAGGGAAAGGAGATTGTAAGCTGCTCTAAGACTCCTTCAGGTAGTGAAGTGCAGGGTATAAATCCAATCTCCTTCTCCTCGTCCTCCTCCTCCCTCCTCCCTTCTTGATAGTTGCTAATAAAAGTTATTACACAGATTTTGTTCTTGTTTTTGGACTTTTCATGGCTGATCACAACATTTCCCCTGATTTAGCATTATTTATCCTGATGCATACCTTTGAAAAGCTGACATGGGCGATCATACGTACAAAAGCGGTGGCAAAGGTGCAATTCCGGCGTGGAGTAAAGGGGTGTGATCAGACAGAAACATCTGTCTAGCATCCCGCAGTCGTTGGCAGGGCGTCTCGTTGCACCGCAGGAGCATGGAAAAAAGCTACCAGGGAAAGGCTACTAGTATCCGGAACTGCGGGGGGGGGGGGGGGGGGGGGGGGAAGTTTGATCGCGCAGATGCTTGTCATTACGGCCCGGGGCAAACAGCCTCGCTTCCCGCCTGCATTATCTTGCGTGTGTGACCTCAGCCATGGACTGGTATTTGAATGGTTTTTGAAGCTCTGATTGCTGTGGCTATCCCTTGGTTTCTGTCTGGAGTGTGCAAGAGATCATTGCTTTTAGGAACAGCACTGCCACAGCTCTTTGGCAACTGGGTTTCATTGTCTAGAATCGGTGCCTCATGATGTTTTGCAGATAATTTTGTTGCCTTTCTTGGGGGAGGAGAAGGGGAAGGAGTCTCAAATGTATTATGCATAAATGTAGTTTCTTTGACTAATGATGCTTTTTATATTGGTAAAATAGCTTTGAGCTGTTGAATATCACACTTTAAGAGCGGAGGACTAATAGTAGAGAACTGCCTAAAAGTGATGGATGAGTTCTCCCACAGATTTATGAATATTAGTGCCATAAATACTGATCTTGCTAATACAATGCACAAGATCAAATCAAGCATTGAACCAGTGACAGAGATGCCCTGGTGGTAATAGTTGATGAATCCTGAAGAATCAATTTGGGGGGAAAGTTCTGCAGTTAGCATATGAACTTAGCGCTAACTCCCCCCCCCCTTTTAAAAATGGCTTGTGTTAGATGTTTGGGTCTAGAAGCTATTTATCCTGGACAGAATTCATTTTTATAATGCTTTTCAAAGTTCCCTTGTTGTTTGTCTGATTTATTTGACTTTTGTTCTTTTCTTTTAAAACAACAACAACAAGCTGTAACACGTATCTTGGATCCTGGGAACATTGGCTTTTACTGTTGGTGTTAAAGGTGTTGCACTGCTGGCTGGTTTTCGTGTGCATAGCATTACTCTTTATAGAAACATAGCTCTGGAAGGGGGACCCCCAAGGGTCATCTAGTCTAACCCCCTGCACAATGCAGGAAAGTCACAGCTCCCCCCCCCCGTGACCTCTGCCCTGTGACCAGAGGAAGGCAAAAAAAAAAACCCTCCAGGATTCCTGGGCCTATATGGCTTGGAGGAAAATTCCTTCCTGACCCCAAAGACCTGGCATGTTAGAAGCTGCCTTGTGAGTCTTTGTGCTAAAATATTTTCAGTGTTTTAAAATTAGAGGAGTGGTTATTGATATCTTCATGTGCAGCATGTGGCTTGCTAAGTTACATTTGAGAGAGCGTGTTATGACTAGCAGTGCCCACATTTGATTGCCCTTGGGTTTGCTTTTGGGTTATGTCAACTGGTCTTCACTTAATTTCCCCCCCCCCATTGAAGCCACAAGAGAAGCTAAGTCAGATATTATTAACACTTCTGTTTGTTTCTCTGTCTGTAGAGGTCAGTGTTAGCCAAGACTGTGAATGACACGTTAATTAATTTCACAACTTGAGGCACAAGTAGCTTTAGGGAGACACAATTGTGATAAAAATCAGTCTTTTAGTAGTTCTTATAGTAGTTTTTCTTTCCACTTTTGGTCACTACCCATACAGTTTCTCTGGATTGTAGCTGTTGGCCACAGGTGGAAAATATACAGTTATTATCTGTCAATCATTTCTTCATCCCTCCCTTCCTCAAAGGAGTTTAGGGGAGTTCTGTAGGGTTGAAGTCTCATCTCCTTTTCTGCTCATGGTATGCACTGCTATGTGGGAGAGCGGGAGTATGATTTTCACCTCCCCCCTCCTTCCCTCA